GGTTACCCGACCCGGCTGCAGTACACTACTCCTCCTCAGGGATGGTCTGATCAAAAATGACAATTTTTTCGATAACTCAACCATTTCTTGACGGATCCTTCTCATCTTCGAACTCGACCGAGATATTGATGAGATAATGCTGTGTACAAAATTTCATGACAATCTGATCAGCCTTTCAAGAGTTATTGTGTAAATGGCTGGACGGCTGGACACACTGACCAATTCTATAGTGTACTCATTTTTTTTTGAGTACACAAAAAGATAAAAAGCATCCTTAATAGAGCTGAACGTTCAGCTTTATTTAGTATATGAATATTGCATCTTGTTAAGGTGTATGCTCAGGTGTTTCTTAACTTGTTTATTAGTAGTTTCAAGAAATACATTTAAAAATGATAAAATAACGAAAAACAATAGCAACGGCATAGATACTTGTTCCAATAATCTGCAATGAAAACAAATACGCATTGACATATGCAGAGGAAAATGTGAAACAGGAGGAGAACGCTATTTTGACGTGATGCTAATGATCTGTATGTAAACAAGGATCATAACACAACTTAAAGGTCAGTAAACAAATAACAGTTTTTTTTTGTCTGTTATCAAAAATAAACATTTATGGTAGAATCAATGATATCTTTTACTATTCGCGCTTGATGTACTTGTAAAAAATCCTAATCTATTTTTGAAATTAAAATAATTTCATTATCTCATATGCTTGAAGACAAACAACTGCTAAATTCGATCAATGGTTTCCAATAAAAAGCTAATACTTGTTTGATGTAGCAGATATGCTCTCGAGCTGTATGAAAACTAGAGTTGAAATTTTACATCAAATGAATGCTGAATGTAAATAAAACAAATTTTGGATCCTTCAGATTCTCTTAGTACCGCTAGATAAATTTAGTTTTTTCAAAAATGTAGAATTTTCGTTACAAGCATGCTTGGCTTAGATGTCACCGATTGCACTTGTCTGCATCAAAAAGAAACATTTTTTTATTTTATTTAAATAGATTATTCTATTAACGTACAGTCAGCGACAAAAGTTTAATCAAATTAGTTTCTTCGATTTCTCTTTCAGATGAAAATAATGTATAGAGAAATATCAATTCGGATAATAGCAATACTTGTCATAGAGAAGATCTAAATGATTTGAATATTTCGTATAGAGACAACAATTATTAGTTCTAAACAAATATCTCAAGATTTCTCATGAAGAACTACACAACGATTTAATACGTCTTGAATTTTTTCATACAAGGAAAATATTAACAAAGGTTAGATCGGTATGCTGTTCTTCATTGTACATATTTCATTCTTTATTTTTCATCTATTTGAATAAATAGCGATAAACTATTGAGGCTCATAACATATATTTTGGCGTAACCTGATTAAAGATTCTAAAAAAAACTAAAATCATATTAGTAATAGAACTCTATTGTAATTCATTTTGAAAACGTGTTACTATGAATTGAAGACATTGCAACTTGCGAAAGTATATCATTCATTGATTCGCATTGTCAGCTAAAGACATTGTTAATGTATATACAATGTTTGCATCATTCTATTGAAATAAGCTAATAGTTTGAAGGTCGAAAGTTTCTTTGCGCTCGTATTACAAAAGGAACAACCTTCATTGATAGTTAAATGAATATCATTCTCATATGGTATCACGTTTTGAAGAAATTATTTGTATCAAAATTCAAAACCATGTGAAATATACTCTACTAATAAAAGTACAAATGACATTAATTGTAAGATTTCGAATCTGAATTTTGTTGTTCACATAATTCTAAATGTGCCAAAACCTTCTATTGGAATAGTTGTACCTAAAGTACAACTTTTAGCATGCTCTATTGACTTTTAATGAATGATAGATTATTATCAATATGGGAGCAGATGTTGTCAATAGTAATGATTTATATCAAGTATCACTTGGACTGCAATATTAAAAGTTTCGTTGTCAACTTTTCATATTCATTGACAAGCAGAATCAAATATTTGTCACGATGATAATCATGCAATGAAATGTTTTATGAAAAATAACTAGAGGAAGTTATATTAATCGTTTTATATTTATTTGTCCTATTGTAGTGTTAACTGGTGCCATCTTCAGGATAAAGATAACCCAGTGAAAAACTGGAAAGATTAAGTAAGTAGCCTGTAAAAAAACAGAATATTTCCTCTATAATCATTCATATACATTGACTGGATTATATTATACTGAATAAAAGAACCTAGTTTTATTGTCGTATTTTTTTCTCGATATAAACTTTATTGCATATTTTTATCAGTACCGTTTTGTTCGTAGATAAATTTATAAAATCCTGTTTGTTTTTATTGTATTCATCTCATAGAATATACTTTTTGCGATCAGATAATTATTTGATAAAATATCTGTTCCCATGATCATTTGACATAAAAATTAGTTAAAAAAAAAGAATACAAAGTTATCTTTCGTTTTTAAATTGTGCATAGATATAAGAAAAATAAAAATATCACATAGACCCTAGTCACATCGAAAAAGTGGCTTAACGTTAAAGTTGAATTAAGCAGTGCGATTGGCGCATTACGATTTAAGTCATATTTTTTAGACGATTTAAATTTTAATGCGCCAATCACGTTGCTTAATTTAACTTTAACTTAATTCGCTTTTTCCGTGCGCCTGGGGTCATATACATTGAACGGATGCATAACAAATTTATATCATTTTACAATTGATCTCTAATAAAGTTATCCCAAGATTACTGTGCATTTCATAATCTCATTGATTCGCGATTCATATTATATCGTTCTAAGTAAAACGATTTAAGAATAGATTACAGTAAGTTGTGATGAAATCTGTTCATATTAATAGTAAATTAATTAATATTCTTCTAATTAAAAGAATAACAATTGTGTTCAGTTTTTTTTTGAATTTCTTTCATAGATTATTTTGTAAATATTGAATCCAGTTAAGATCCTCATGGAAACGAATCTTACTAATAATAATCATTCGAAACTTGAAACATTTTCTGATGAAGTCTTTTTCGAAATATTTGATCGTTTATCACCTAGTGATCTTTATAAAACATTTTATGGTTTAAATATTCGTTTAAATACGATATTGAATGATTCTCGTATGCGCTTTCGTGATAATCTCTCATCTTTTAATTCAAAACAATTTCATTCCTATGTACAAAATATTCTTCCGCAAATTATTGATCGTCTTATTTCATTTACATTTGGAACATACGATACCGATGAGGTTTGGTTTAGTTTGAAAGAAAATAAACTCATTCTATTTAAATATAATTGAAATTTTCTTCTAGTATCAACAAGTCACTCTTTTCTTACATAAGTATTCTATCGATTTAAGTCTATTCAAACATCTGCGCACATTAGTAATTATTAAAATGACGATTGCAGATGTTCAAATTGTTCAATCAGCACTTGTTCATCTTACAAATCTTGTGAATATACGCCTTTCCGTTGATAGTAATGATGTTGATACAACATCTTTTGTTCATATTGGTAATAATTTAATAACTGGACCAAAATTAAAACGTGTTAAAATGGATATGTGTGCACGAACAATATTTGAAAATGTAACAAAATCATCTAATATTGAACAATTATCAATTGCATGGTGTGAAATGCAAGAATTAACACATTTACTACAATATTCACCGTATTTATGTACGCTTAAAGCAACAATATGCGGATTAAAATATGGTAAAAAAACGAAACAGTTCAATTTTCAAATGTTTTTCTCATTATTTTTTAGTTGATACTTGGACACAAAAAATACATGGAAGTCTCAGCCAAAAATGTTCTCTTCGTTTAAATTCTCTTAAATTAGTCGTTGATTCAATACGTTTCGATTATTTATTATTATTATTACATGAATTAAGACAATTACGTTCCCTATGGTTATTACTTAATCATTATGAATATATGGATGCTGACAAATGGGAAAGTTTATTTCAAACATCATTAATACAATTAGATCAACTTGATTTAACAATAGCATTGACTAAACCATTTTTATCTGTTAATACACCGGGACAATTTCTTATGTTATCAACTCCAAATACGGCATGTACAAAGTTCAATACAAGATTTTGGTTTGATCGTGGTTGGCGTGGAAAGCTTGATGAGTATGATCATTGTGTACGATTGACTGTATCAAATCATGCAGTACCTATACAAAACAAGAATAGAAGTCATTATTAAATGGGAAAATCGTCAACATTTTTCTTTTTGATTCACTCTTTAATTTTTGTTGTTCGTCAGATTTATTTCTTGTATCATTCAAGTTCCATAATTATTTCTATTTGCTTTTATTTTTCTGTATGTTGTGTATCAATATCAACAATGTTGAGTTACAAAATAAAATGGTTCACGTAGGAGTTATAACTTCTGTCAAGATGGATAATAAATAGTTTATTTCGTTCTTTTTCTTTTCTCGTTCTTTTTTTTTTATTAAGCAGTGTTATTTTATTTAATATAATGTCTTACGAATGCTTTAATTTAATTATCTTCTTTTTTTTATTTAAATTATCAGTCTGTATCGATAACAAAAGTTTAATGATTGCCTCGAGGTATCACAATTAACAAGAAGATACAAAATTGTTTAGTGATGATATGTTCTTGACTTGTAGACATTCTTGGTAATTTATTCATTGAATGTCTCATGTAGGGGTGACATTTTTCCTTTCTTTTTCTTTCAAAAAGGAAAGGAAAGGAAAGCTGTCTGACTTTTAACTTTCATGTCAAAAAAAGAAAGGAAAGAAAAGTTAAAAACTTCCTTTTCCTTTTGCTCGTCTTCAAGAAGATAGAATTATCTTTCTTGTTCAGTTCCATTTAAAAAGATAGGGGAAAAGTGGAAAATAAAGTCGAAAGAAAGCAAAAGAAAGTTGTATGTATTTGTTTTTCAAGGATTGTGCCCTTGCTGATGGGAAAATTCGCTTCAAACTTACTCTTTTAAACTAACCCGTAATAGTCCCACAGAAAAAATAAAATATTAATGAATTCCGGGTAGATCAATAGGCGCTAATGCTAACCTTTAATAAGAATAAAACATCGATACTAGTAAGGTACGGAAAATGCAAAATTACAGTAGAATTTTGTTTTCGTTTTTTATATACGACTAGGTAGAGTGTGTCGAGTGGATCACGAATATATCTTTCAATGTTTTTCATTTGTTTTAAGCTTAATGCAGTTTGTTTCACATTCAGCATAAAATAAATGACTATCATAGATTCCTTCTTTTTATGCTGAATATAAGACCAACAGTATTAAATTTAAAACAAATGAAAAACATTGAAAGATATATTCGTGATCCACTCGACACACTCTATCTAGTCGTATATAAAAAACGAAAACAAAATTCTACTGTAATTTTGCATTTTCCGTACCTTACTAGTATCGATGTTTTATTCTTATTAAAGGTTAGCATTAGCGCCTATTGATCTACCCGGAATTCATTAATATTTTATTTTTTCTGTGGGACTATTACGGGTTAGTTTAAAAGAGTAAGTTTGAAGCGAATTTTCCCATCAGCAAGGGCACAATCCTTGAAAAACAAATACATACAACTTTCTTTTGCTTTCTTTCGACTTTATTTTCCATTTTTCCCCTATCTTTTTAAATGGAACTGAACAAGAAAGATAATTCTATCTTCTTGAAGACGAGCAAAAGGAAAAGGAAGTTTTTAACTTTTCTTTCCTTTCTTTTTTTGACATGAAAGTGCGACTCCTAGTCTCATGTTAATTAAAGAAAGATTCATCGAGGGAGATAACCTCTTCAAGTCATTTGAACTCGTTCTCTTTGTTTTTTAAGTATAGTAAATAATATTCTAGAAATTCTCAGCAGTGGACAACAGTACCAATCGATCGGGAAACTGTTCCGCTTTAAGCAGAAATTCGGTATCATAAGAATTTACAACATTCCTTTGGATAAAAACATAAACTTGAACTTATCTTTCAGGAGAAACGAAAATATTCTTTCTCCTACACAACTTCTCAATAAGACAAAAAAGAAAATCATCAATATCTCCTATTATATTATCAATATCTCCTTGGAAGGGGAGAAACGGTTCAACCATTTCTCCTTAAGATCATACCATTTATGCTGAAATAGTACCGTTTCTCGTTGAATTTTGTCTGAGAGTCGATAAGGAGATGATCCATGTTTCTCTTTTTTTGGTGAAGTTCTGCTTGGAAAGGAATGTGTGCCTGATGAAGTGTTTCTTCTTGACTTTTGGTGGGTAAACGATTTGTGCTGTAAATGGAACAGTTTCTCGATTTGGGGAATGTTGTCCAGCCCTCGAAATTCTCTGACGACATGATAGAATGTGTTCCGTATAATGAAAGACAAAGTTTGCATTTGTTTTCTCTAGCAACTACCAACAATATTTTTATTTTTGACATACCAGTTACTTGTTTTATGATAAGAACGAATACAATCTTGTTGATACGAAAAAGACACACAACTACAGTCCATTATCAATATTAAAATCTATTCTTGTTTTTATAGCTTTTTCTTGTTGAGAAAAATTAACGCATGTCAATTTTACGAAAAACCAAATAATCTTTTTAATTATTAGATTCATATTTAAGTCTTCAAAATCTCTATTCGTGGTTTAGTCATAATAATACTTGTAGTATAGACTATTATCACATACTATATTATTTCTATATGTAAAAAAACAAAGGCGATTAAAGTAAAAGCGAACAAAACCAACTAGAATTCATACATAAAATAACAAATTAGAGAATTTTTCTTAATTGTTCTGTTTGTAAAATACTTAATTTTGTACGCAATAAAAAGAAAATACCAAGTAAAGCAGGAATAGAAACAGGTACGAGAATAATCCACAGTGTCCAAGCTCGAACGACAAGCATTATTGTTAAAACAATTTCAATACCAATAATTGATGCCAATGTTGCATACCACACAGCACGTTTCACAGGTGTTTGCTCAGCAATAGGGTGTGAAGTTTTGTTTGATGTAACTGGTTGATAAACTACATCGGTACCCTCAGCTGGCTCTAAATCATCAATTGAAAACATTTGTGGATCTTGTCCTAAACTACGTGAACCATTCGAATCAAGTCCAGTAAATACGTTAACACCTGGCGTAAGAACAGTATGTGCCGAACGTGATATTAAATGAACATTTTCATCAGAATAGACAATACTTTGAAGGTACATAAATAAGAAAAATGAAAAAGCATAATACGATGTAACTAAATACGAATAACTTTCATTGACAGTGTAAAAACTAGCAAATAGAAGTGTATCACTCATTGCTAAAAATAATATAGAAAATTTCGATAATGCTTTAGCTGTTCGTAATAATGAATTGAGTAAAATCTAAAGAAATAAAAATAAAGAAAAATAAAACAATGATTCATCTTTATCGTACTTGAGGTAACATGTGTACTGAAAGTAGTAAGTAGCCAGTTAATATTAAAAACTTATCATGCTGTCTCAATAATAATATAATACCACCACCTATAATCCATGTAAGTAAACTACCACCGATTAATATTATTTTTTGTTGTCGATGAAGATTATCGGCATGTATAAAAATCTGTATAAATACAGCTATTGTTGAAATAATTGCAATTAATTCAAATATCGATGGCCAATTGAATGCATGTGCAACCATCAATGCAGTCAAACCAAGTACACGTATAATTAACCAAAGATAACTAATTCCGGCAATATATCTTGAACCATGATGAAACAAATAGATTATTTGTGGAATAAATGATACAGCCAAAAAAAGATAAGCAATTACACGAACAAATTCACCTAATCGGCATGTTGATGTAGAATATTGTCTTAAACAATTGTCATAAAATGTGCTTGCATTAGCTGGAGTAGTTGACGTTGTTGATGATAAGGATGAGGATGATACTGATGCGATTATTGTTGTTGTGAGTGTTTCTATTGTTGTTAACGTTGCTGTTAAAGTTGTATTATTCAAAGCTGCTGTCGATGAGACCGTAGCATTCGACATGATTAATTATACTGTAAACAAAAGGAAAATATTTAATAAAAAGCTCAATACCTGACTTGACTATAGAGAAAAATAAGAGTCAATATACGGAGAACTTGAAAAGCTTAGAATAAATAGAAGAAGGAAAAATTCAGTTATACATCGTATGCTTTTTTTTTTTTATAAGCAACAATCGATGCGAACAATAACTAGTAAAATAATAATCTTACTCGCTTTTTATTTTGTTCGCTTCTCTATCAACGTATTTTTATGATACAGACATCCACTAACACACGCATAGCAGTCGATTCGTATCGACTAAAACTAACGTATATTCAAAATGTCTTCTTATCTTTGCAGCGAAAAAAGAAAAGGGTACTGGCCATTTCTTATTTTAAATAACAACAGTCGATTTTCAAATCAAGTTACATTTTCTTATATAATATTCACTTGAATACGTTACTAATTGGTTCAAAAGTAAAGAAAATAAAAAGAATACTAGACATGAAGATTGAATATACACATATAGAAGAAAACAGACAGAGAATAAAAACAAAATCCTTATCGTGTCAAAATGAAGACAGTGAACGAAAAAAAAATTATTATAATCAAACGCGTACGAAGAACATTGTTGAATGAAATAAAAACCTGACGGTAAATATGCGCATGTTGCATTTGATGAATAGACTGACGCTTGATAAAGAGGTGACACGATGAATGGTGATGAGAAAAACGCCAAGAAAGAACGATGGGAATAGGAAAAAAAGAATCGAACAAAAAAAAAAGAAAGAGAAGAGAACGAAAGAAAGGAGTAAAAGTACAAGATGCATAGACTCGAACAAAGATCATAATATATATATATATATGTATAAAATTAAAATCAAATAGATGAAATCGAAGTATTGCATTTATTAATTTTTTTTTGTATTGTTGCTGTCATCATTTATGATGCTTTTTCATCGTCATATTAAAGTTAGTTACGTGTTGTTATCACTATTGGCGACATTTTTTGCTAAAAATTTTTCCTCTCTTATATTTGAAGTATTATTCACGAGTCTTTTTTTTTCTTTCCTTACGGTACCACTATTAAAGAATAAAATTTGTTTTTTCTTGGATAAATAAGAAAATATTTATCTATTCTAATTAAAATAGCTATTCAAAATCTACAAAAATTTACACACTAAGAAGAAAATAATTACAAAGATCTTACTTCTATAGCTCAACAATACAATGATTTATTCTTTTTAGTAAAAGAACTAATCCACGGAGAATTAATCATAAATAGATATGTGAAAAATTTATGTTTATAAATGACAAATGACATTGTGACCTACTTTGATCTATGGTAGAAAAAAAGTTCTCATATAGTCATTCTATTTTCAATGGAATTTTGTTCTATATTGATCATACGTCAAATAGAGTTTTTACACTGAAAAATGATAGTTTTATTTATTTTTATATCTAAAAAAAAGGACTGTAGTAAATTTATTTTTATGAAAAACCTTCAAATTAAACATATAGATTTCACTCGGGATAATAAAAAAAAAGAAAAAAAGATCACATTGATGAAATCATGTTTCAATATCTAGTTATATTTATTCTGGATATTTAATAGGATTAAAAGATCAATTTGCATCATGATCTATCGGAGGATCATTTGGCCGTTGCCGTCGTCTTTGATGACGAATACTATCTAATTGTGATAAATCAACGGAACTACAAGAAAAAATTCAATTCATCATATAAGAAACATTTATTATTCATCTTACGCTGTATAATATGATGGTGAATTTCGAGCTGCTGATCTTCTTGATTGCTTTGTTGGTAGAAAATATTTTGAATTACGAGTATTTTCTGGTCGAGGTGTTCGTGGTGGTGGTGGTGGCACTGGCATAAGATCAAGTAGTGCAAAATTCTGTGGCCAGCGAACATTTCTTGTTTGTATATGTGCGTCAAGTCGATTATTATCCGTATATCGAGAATTATTTGGGTATGATACTATTCGAGCATTCTTAATAGATGATTTACGTATATAGTAACAAGCACCTATAATAATTGCCAGCAGTAATAGAAAACCTAAAGATCCTAGAACAGACCCAAGTATTATGGATAAAGATTGACCACTAGCATTTGAATTAGAAACAGTCGAAGTCTAAATAGCGAAAAGCAAAATTATTTACTACAGATTTTTGTCAATAAAATTATGGTAAATAAATTACTGCTAATCTGGCAAATTGACAAAGTCTATTTGGTGATAATGTTATATTCGATAAACAATTCGTTTCAGTTAAATTTTCAAATTGTATTATTGTTAAACTTGATGTATTACTACATTGAAATCGATTTGTAATTTTGTCTGATGAATTTAATGAATTGAAATATTCTTTAATATAAATTGATGAGCAATCACATTCAATATCTACTGCACTACTATTACTGCTTTTTATTTGTTCGAATATTGCAATAAGATAGTTTAATGAATTACTAGTACACGTATTATAATCTTGTGCAACTTGATCGTTCAGCAGAAAACGCATTTGATTTGGTAGCATTACATTTGCCGAAAGAGAACCAATAACTAACGATCGTTTTTGATAATTATTAATAATAGTATAACCATCAAGTGTTGTCGAGAATGGATTATTCTGTAAGTTAGTATTTGTATCTGCATACGTGTAAACAAATAAATCAAATTCAGTTAATTGATTCGATGATACACTAAGTGTTCGTGGTGATAATAGCGTGCTTGATATTGTACTTTCATTTGAATCAAAGAGACTATATGGAAATTGTGCTAGATTATTTGATGTTAGATCAATCGATATCCAATTGGATAAAGTCAAATTGACGACATTAACTTGATTGTAAGCAAGATTAATATTTTGAACTGTATTATTCGATGAACAAGGAAATGTTGTGCTATTTAATATGCTAAACGATTGATTTGAAAGATCAATAGTATTGGACGGTAATGAACATAAGTAAGCTGGCAATTCAGATACTGAATTTTGATTATTAATTGAAACTTGTGTTATATTTTGAAAATAAATACTATTAAGAGCAAATGATGAAATTGCAGTCAGCGTACTTGATTCATTTACACAATCAATTGACATTCGATTACCGCCTGAATAAAATGTAAATAAACAATAACTATTATTCACAATTTGAGGTAGATAATATGGATATGTCTATCAAAAGAAAGAAAATGTTAACGAAATAAATAATTTTTTATTATTTTTTATTAATTCACTTGTGTGATATTATCAGCCACATTAACTAAACTTATATTACCATTATTTGAATTTAATATGCAAAGACGTGGCATTGTAGTTGCGAAATTAACTGATGACCTATTGCAAGCTGCAATATTTGAATTATTATAGAACAATGTTTGATCTGTACACATAGTATTGGACAATGCATATGTTGATGAAAGACTCATATTAAATGAATACAAGAAGCTTTGTTGTATATAGTATTGATCACAAGTGCAATTTATTTTTGATCTAGCAAAATTAATATTTAAAAAACTCATTGTCAAGATTGAAACTATCTGTGGCAAACTAGTATTGAATATTTGTTGAATTTCATAACAAGCTCCATACATTTCGTATATGCTATCTGTCACATCGATAATTTCACTATTATTTGTTAAATCAACAGATGCACTAAATGAACTAGTGTATGTTGACACATTAATATTAGCATTATTTGTTATTTTTGATATTTCATTGTTAGATAAATTAATTGATATTGAAACAATTATAATGGATCCAAGATCAAATGATGTTATTTGATTATTTTGTAAAAATACTTCCTCAATGATTTGAGTGCTTCTTAACAATAATGACGGATAATCCTGCAGATAATTACTACTCAAATCAAGCACCCGTAAATTGTTTAGACAAGATGGATTCGAATAAATCAATTCCGAATCCACAAGATTGATACGATTGAATGAAATATTTAATATCTTTGAAAGAAAAAACTTGCACTTGAATGAAAAAAGGAGAGACACATACCCGCAAATTCGTGAAAAAACATATATTCGACGGCAATTGAACCAAAGGGCCACGCGAACCATTGTAACCTTGAACACTCAACGATGTAACACGTGTTAACATTGGTAAATTGTAACCACTAATGGGTAGTATTGATAAATTATTACTAGACGGACATGCAAAAAAAAGGTTCGTGTTGTTGGCACTAAATGTTGCGATGCACTCTGGTACGGACGCTGTTGTCGTAGAAGTCTACAATGCCAACAAAATAACCTTTCACACATTCGCCCAAACTTTCACAACTTAAATATAACCGTATCCCAGAGCAAAAATCCCGCAGATTTACCTCTCAAAAATAATTACGCAAACTAAATTCAGAGCAACTGATCGAACCAAAACAACACTTCGGAATATCCAAAACAAATTGTGTAAAATGACACTATTTCTCACCTCACGAGCAGCCTATCCCGTTCCTACCAGCTTTTACAAAGGACCTTCCCCAAAATAAGAGACTTCTCTCCACATGATACTCGCCCACCACGATCAGGTCAAAAAATATCAGCTCACGGTCGAAAGGAACGTTGTCATCGTCAACATCGCAGTAGTTCCGGACGTTGTTGTCAACGTCGACCCGGACGATGCTGTCGTCGAACTTGAAGAAAAGACTCCCATCGTTGTTATCGTGGATGTGGTACTCGATGTCTCCGTCGTCGCCGTTGCAGTAGATGTTGTACTTGATGTCTCCGTCGTCGTCGTTGCAGTGGATGTGGTGCTTGATGTCTCCGTAGTGGTTGACGTCTCAGTTGTGGAGGATGTTTCCGATGTGGTCGATGTCACTGTTGTCGTTGATGTGGCTGATAATATCACAC